GTGCCCTACTTTTGGGAGGTTCTTGACATCGGTGATAACGCCTGATGGTTGGGCCATGAAGGTTCACTATCCCCTTTGTAAAATGTTGAGGGACGGTACTATCGCGTACTCCCCACCAAAAGGTGTAGCGCGGTCCACCCTTGAAGTGGCTATCGCCATCTGATTACTAAGACGGTAATGCCGTGTGACAGCTCAAGAGTGGCTATCACCGTCTCACCACTAAGGGGTTATTGCCGTCTCACCACTATGGGGTTATCACCGCCTCACCACTAGCAGGTTATCGTTGTTTCCTGACCAAAAGGGGCTATCATCGTTTCTTCCGCCTGCAGAGCTTTCACCCTCCATCCCTCCAGCTTGTTGGCGATGCTGTCAAAGTAAGGGAGGAGGGCTCATTCCCTAAGGTGATCCCCCTTAGCTGTTGGATCGATGTTCCAAGCTCTTCGAGGGGCACCTCCTTCAGCTTATGGAGGCCCATTCGAAGCATCTCAAAGATGACGCCCGAGATCCAACTGAAAGTGGGTATGGGTCCTGCAGCCCTGAAAGTGAGCCTTCAAAGTCTAGAGTTTTCAAAACTAAAAGGAAAATATTTACATTCACTAAACAAATGGATTGGAATGGATAATTATTTACTTTTGAAAAAATCTATACATTTTTTAAAGTGGCCATCTCATAGATATCAATCTAATGAGCCTATCTTCGAAAAAATAAAAAGGATATATGTCTGTATGAGAAGGCAACAACTGTCCTGCCCCATGAGATTTTTGAAAAGATTTCCAAAATAGTAGAAGATGAGCAATACTTCAAAATCCCAAATCTATTAGAACAAATTTTCATGCAAGGAGATACCTTATGTGGTGATCACAAACATATTCGTCGAGTTGTCTACAAAATTCTTCTTTTAAAATATTTGTGAAATTCTTTAAGACATTTTCCAAATTTTTATTATTATCTGAAAGTAAGGTACCTTTTCTACTGGCCTTTTTGTGAAATTTTCCCATTTTTTTAGGCATTGTAAGGTATCTCCCTACAATGTTCCAGCTATATAATCAAGGAATTTTTCTTTGGTCCAGAAATGTTTATTATTGACAATGACTAGAGTCATAGATGAGCCCAATCATTAGTGGCTTGATTATATTCCCCAAATGGAATATTTTTTAAATCAAGATATGTGCCATTAGCATTTTATGTTTTGTTTATTAAGATCATCTTTCCTTGCAATAAAATAGTTTGGTTTTATTTTAAACCAGACTTTTCCAGTTACAAGATTTGATTGTAATCCTCCTATTATTGTCTTAATAGGGTCACTAAATCTTTTATCCAGGGCTACTACCAGTATGGGAGTATTATTTCGATCATGCATATTCCAATATACAAATCTCTAAGTTTTGAGTATTGCTTGATCATTTTTGCTATTTTGCTGTATAAAAAATTGCTATTTTTGTTTTATAAAAAATTGCAATTTCAACCAAACCATTTTTTGAAGCGTTAGCATTTAGATGTGTTACCGCTAAAATGCTCAAAATGTCTTGCATTCCAAAATTGAAAGTTAGACCATTTGTATATTTCTTCTTTTTTAAGAATATTTGATATTTCTATTTTGGATTCATCAATTGTGAATTCTTCTTTAATCACATATCCAAGTTTAAGAACTTGTTGTTCTTCTATAGAGATTTCTGATAGTGCTTCTTCATTCATCATAAAAACTAATTCCAAATCACTGCCTTCTGTTTCAAGCTCAGTTTCTATCTCGAATATTATCGATTCCCTATCAGAAATTTATTTTCCAAAACAAATTTTAAAATTGTTTTCTTCAAGAATTTTTATCATTTTTTTGATATTTTTCTTTTTGCATTATTGTTACTTAACAATAAACTATTTGATTTTATTTTAAACCAAATTTTTCCAGTAACAAGATTTGATTGTAATCCTCCTATTATTGTTTTAATAGGGTTAATAAATCTTTTATCCAGGGCTACTACCAGTATTGGAGAAATATTTCGATCATGAATATTCCAATATCCAAATATCTAAGTTTTGAGTATTGCTTGATCATTTTTGCTATTTTGTTTTATAAAAAATTGCTATTTTTGTTTTATAAAAAATTGCAATTTCAACCGAACCATTTTCTGAAGCTTTAGCATCTAGATGTGTTACCGCTAAAATTCTCAAAATGTCTTGCATTCCAAAATTGAAATTTAGACCATTTGTATATTTCTTCTTTTTTAAGAATTTTTATTTTTCTATTTTGGATTCATCAATTGTGAATTCTTCTTTAATCACATATCCAAGTTTAAGAACTTGTTGTTCTTATATAGAGATTTCTGATAGTGCTTCTTCATTCATCATAAAAACTAATTCCGAATCATTGTCTTCTATTTCGAGCTCAGTTTCTATCTCGAATATTATCGATTCCCTATCAGAAATTTCTTGTCCAAAACAAATTTTAAATTGTTTTTTTCAAGGATTTTTATCATTTTCTTAATATTTTTCTTTTTGGATTATTGTTATTTTTCTTAACAACATACTGTTTTTTGTTTATTAAATTTTTTTCTTTTATTCCATTTTTTCCATTTAAATTTTTTCTTCTTGAAAGATTTCTTTCGATAATTCTTTTCACATCCAAATTCGAAAATTGTTTTTAAGAATTCAGTTACAATCTTTCATCCCAAGTTCTTTCTTGACTTGTTTTGCTGCTTTTAGATTTTTTCAATGTTTTTGAAAAAAACAAACCTTATCCTATTTCCTAGGGTATCTTTCGGAAACATTTACCACATACATATTTGTCGTAATCAGTTTCACAAATCTCGTCCCAAGGAACTGGCAATTTATGGAAAAATTGTCTTCTTTTCCAGAAATCTGTTTTCATATCATCTAGCATTTGATACCATTTATGGTATTCTTTTTGCAAACAAATTAAATTATTTGATTTTGCATAATTTTAATTTTTACAAAGTAATTTGCATCTGATTTTCAGGTTATATGCATCTATTTGTCCACAAAATTCTTCTTTTAAGATATTTGTGAAATTCTTTTAGACATCTTCGAAGTTTCTATTATTATCTGAAAGTAAGATAGCCTTTTTCTACCTGTCTTTTTGTGAAATTTTCCCATTTTCTCAAGGTAAGGTATCCTTGCAATGTTCCAACAATACTTCAAAATTAATGGCGTCATGGCACCATTCTTCTCATAATCTACATATATTTTTGGGATTGTGAAGTATTGCTCATCATCTATTATTATGGAAATCTTTTCGAAAATCGCATGAGGCAGGAAAGTTTTTGCCTTCTCATACAGACATATCCTTTTTATGTTTTCAAAGATAGGTTATTTTGGAAATCTTTTCGAAAATCGCATGAGGCAGGAAAGTTTTTGCCTTCTCATACAGACATATCCTTTTTATTTTTTTGAAGATAGGCTCATTAGATTGATTATCTATAAGAAGCTACTTCCAAAAATGCATTGATTTTTTCAAAAGTAAATTCTTCATTCCAATTCATTTGTTTAATGGTTGTAAATATTTTTTCTTTTAGTTTTGAAAACTCTAGACTTTGATTTGCTATCAAGTCTGATAATTTTCCTATATGTATTTAGATCTGTTTTCGAGTATAAGGTTTTTCCATACCTCGTTCAATTCATTGTAAATATGATTGGAAATATTGGGATTTTTATAAAAACTGGACACCTACATGCTGAATGAGACTATTGTATTTGTTTCTGCATCTTTATGATGTCCCTATATGAGATTGGTTTAAGAATATTGGGTTGATCAAATTGAGAGTATAGAGTTGTTTCTCTATGTCCAGTCGGGTTCCAATACAATTTCCATCTCTTGTAGGAATCCTTCTTTCTTCTCCTTGTGTAGGAGTGGCTGTTTTTATCCGGTAGACCTACTAAGAAAGTCAGCAAGAACACTTTTTTATTGAGAAAATTTTGAAGTACTCAAAATCTACAAGGAGAAGTATTGCTGGAAAAAGAATCTAAAACTCTTCTTTTGAAAAAAATGAGCTTTTCCCTAATCACAGACTCGAAAAATCCATATAAACCTAGAAAAATGTTATTTTATGGAGCTGAAATGCGTTTTAGAAGAAAATGAATCTCAAAAATTTGAAGTCATCAAAGAAATTATCGAATATTAGAAATCAAGATACATAAAGGAAAAAGACTTTGAAACAAGAAAAACCATCTTATTTCCAGCATACAAAGGTTATTAGCAGAACATAAAGAACCCATGTTAAGAAATAATTATCATCTAACAATCAGCTTTGATGATAGTGACGTAGAATCATAAAATATTACTGCAAATGAAGTAAATGACACTTAGAAAAGTCATCTGAAAAGATAATTTGAAAAACCGGATCATTTGGATTCTAACCCAGACTCTAAACCCTTGATAGTTTCGAAAATTATTTAAAAAATCTTAAGCAGAAAGATTTTTTCCAAATGAAGAAGAAAAACCTTCACCTTCATTTTCAAAACCATACTAGAAACAAATATGAACTCTAAACCGGAGTTGCGCATGAGATATAGTTAAAATAATTATCTAGACAAAAATGTCGGGATGAAAGAAGATAGCTTCGATTTTGCTATCGAATGGAAAGTCATCCATGAATGTTAGTATAACTGAACGATTTAAATAATCAAATTGTAGAAAGTTTTGAACCTCGCAATTTTGATACAGAGATGCAACCAAAACTAAATTGGCGAGATTTGGAAATACCTGCAAACCGGTTAACAGAAAATTCTACAGATAAAACTTCTAAAAAAGAAGTACATCTTTTAACTTTCTAAGCATCAGGAAATAATATATATTTTTCGATCAAAGATTCTTTAACAGAAGGTTAAGTCTTGACAAACCAGTAAATCTTTTTGCAGATAAGAGTTAAATTTTGATCAACTAGATCCAAAACAAAAATCTATTATAACACCCAAACCATTATTAGGATATAAAACAATTTAATTACTTGGGGATTTTGAGCAAATACTTCAAAATCCGTATAATCTGCATCAGAGAACAAACTTTTTATTAAGAAAATGTCGTTGCTACATATGTAACGAAGAAGGACACATAGAGCTCCAAATTGTCCTCAAAAAGGAAAAAATGTCAAGAAAATGATGCAGAAGCCAAACAACAATGCCCGCAAAATCCGGAATGCCCAACAGCTGAGATTTCTGGCAATTATCAGCTCGATAGGAGCTTTTTTTGGCAGCTTTAGAGGACAGTTTCCTTGACGAGTTCCTGCAAACAGCAATGGACAAGTTCTAGAGAGGGAGGGAGAGAGCAGATGGTTATGGCTTCAAGAGTAACACCCCTTTTTGCTCGTGTGCAGCAAGCTTTATCCACATTTTAATTGTTGAAGTTCAGCGCGGCATGGGTATGGGCATTGGCATGAGAGAGAGAGAGAGAAAAAAGATCAATTACAGACATGCATTTAGGTAAATATAATGGAGCATAAAATATTACAAGTGTAATAAAAAGCAACCGAAAAGACAATGTAGTCCCTCAACAAACTCAACAACCCCATTCAAGATGTCTTGGGGACCACCAAACTGTTGTCATGGGAGAGAGTTGCACGGAGTTTTAAGGTTCTTTTTCTTGCCAGTAAGCTTGGCTGAGAGAGACCCCGCTTCTTCTTACCGCACATCTCCCCATTCCTCTCTCATCACCATAAAAATCCAAAGAAACAGGGTGGGTTTGTAGCATATATACTCACCATCAAACAATCTCTATCACTTGGAAAAAAGGCATGCAGCCTCCCACTACTGCCATAACTCATAATCTTTTTACCGTAAATCATAAAAATGTGGCCTCCACATACAAGCACGGGTGAGGGATGCCTATCACCTTTCTTCAGCACATTTTCACCATCATATTCGAACCCCAACTCGGGCAAGATGTACGTTGATTATCTCCTCCCACTTTGTCTTCAGTTTTGCAAAACCACACCATTAACTTTTTAGATCAAGCCCTATTACAGCCACAAGAGAAACATGGCCATTCCAATCCAAGAGCAACATGGCCAACCCACACCGAGGGTGCACTATCTCAACTGCCTCTCTCACCATGTCGAAGCTGATCAACCTGCTGTCCATCCTAGCATGTATGGCCAATCGATATAAGATTCTTCATGCCAAAGATTAGAGGTTTTTTTGGCATGCAAGCCTCCATTGTCCAATCAATGAGTCAAACAGCTAGTATTCCGGAATGGGCTTCCTCCATGCCAACACATTCGATACTGTAGTCAAAACCCTGAATTTGCAATGCTGGGGGTCGAAATAGAATCCGAAATAGTATGCTGAGGATCAGGGAACAGCAGGAAGGCAGGCGGATTGGCCTGTCAAAAACCCGGATTGACACCCCTACCTATCCCACCAATCAGGGTACAAAGGATGCCATTGCTGCATCCCACCCTCATGTCTGGTTTTCTGGGCATCCAAGAAGAGCATAATTCATTATGGGAGAGATAATGAAGTTGCATGATGCTATCATGTTTGAGGGAGATGATGAAAATTGGAGATTTTTCGTGGTGGGAGAATGGGAGGAAGAAGGCACAAGATTGAGAGGGAGAATAAGGGGCGAGAGAGTGGGAGACTAAGGGGCGAGAGAGTGGACCCGTGCAAAATAAGGAAGGGGAGGATAAGAGTTCATTCCAAGATCTTGAGACAATCTTGAGACCATACAAGGGGGACAAGCCACTTGAGTAGGATTTCTTCTACTAAGTTATCAAGCAAAATGCTCCCATCGTGAGAGAGAATAGAAATTACCAGGTCAAAGAGAGTGGATGAAAGAGAGAGAATGAAAGGTATAGCTTTTAGAGAGAGAGAGAGTTTGTCAAGAGAGAGAGAGTGGTAACTGGTTAACAAGAGATTAGGTGAGAGAAAACAGAGGTGCGAGAGGGGGAGAAGAGACAATGAGAGAAAAGCAAAGTCACCTTCGATGAGAGAGAGAGTGATACTTAGTAAATAGAAGTCAAGTACACGAATTATAAAAACTCTAGGTTGTGCTTTTCAAAACTTAAAAACATGACTATGTAAAATCATTAAAATACTTCACAAACGTTATATGCTGGTTGTTGCTATAAATGAAGCAGAAACATAGCTAACGACCTAAAACCAAGTAGATTTACGCCCGACTCTGGTGTGTAATTTGAATTCAAAAAAATTTGAATAGAATGACATGGAATTCCACCAAGAAACACTATATAAACGGTAAGAAGACGATGCGGCAATGAAGCTAGGAGAAGTTTTCATTTCCTACCATCGTCGCGGAGGAACCTAAAGGTCTTTATATACAATGCCAACGGCACCAACAGGATTTCACATTAATGCCAAAGCCATTTTCATAACTTATGCGCGTTATCCTCTACCGCATTAGTAGTACTTGAACGGCTCAAATTCATCCACAATAATTCTACATCATCAGGAGAACATCATCAGGATGGAACGCCCCATCTCCACTGTCTCCTTCAATTTTCCAAAGTTATCAACATATACGATCCCAAAAGATGGGAGATCACTCATGAGTCCACCACCTATGGTCCAAACGTCCAAACAGCAAAGGATCCTGCCGCAGTGCGTGCTTACATCTCTAAAGAGGGATCTTTCGTTGATTATGGAGAATTCCATGAACGATACAGATCAAACAACACAACAAAGGACATATAGGCATACTATCATCATCTACGTCCGCGGAGGATTTCTTGTCCCGATGTGAACAACAACCTATGATTTTTGCAACACAACTAGAATTCCCTAATCTTCCAGATGAATTATTCAATTGGATGAATGTGTTGCTTGCGCAAGCAACACCTGACAGACCTATAAGCATTGTCATAGAAGGTCTGAGTCGGACTGGGAACTCAACAGGCACGGAGCTTAGCCCCGCACAATTATTTCAGTGGATGGATGGACTTCAGTGGTTATTTGAATGATGCAATACACTGTCATTGACGATTTCGAATTTCGCCATTTATCAAGCAACACCTGACAGACCTATGAGCATTGCCATAGAGGGTCTGAGTCGGACTGGGAACTCAACAGGCACGGAGCTTAGCCCCGCACAATTATTTCAGTGGATGGATGGACTTCAATGGTTATTTGAATGATGCTATACACTGTCATTGACGATATCGAATTTCGCCATTTATCAACAAGAAAGAATTAATTGGCGCACAACATAAGTTTGAGGCGAATATCAAATATGGACGTCCTGTTTCTATTAAGGGTGGGATACCATCGATTATTTTATGTAATTCTGATATGTCATGGGAGCTTGACTTCACGCCTTTCTTTATAGAACGGTTTTGATTGTAGCGCCATATACTTTCATCTATACCATTATTCTTAAATAAAATTTTTATTACGTTCGAAAATGCATTCTACAATTTCAGTGTGAAAATTCACGATGCAACAGACAAACTAGACGCACTAAACTATCAATATAGCATTCTGCGTCATATTCGCATATTCTCCACTAGCATTCTTGACCATTTGATATTTTGCGTGTGGGGGGCCCACACGCAAATTCCATCTATTTTCTTTTTTTTTTTTGAATTCAACTATTTATTATTTTTGCTGAAAGGAAATAGAACGCACTATGGATGGGGTAATGATTAATATGCGTACTAATGGTTATTTAAATAAAAGAAGAGTCAATATGCATACTAATTCAGATATTAATACGCATATTGATCCTATAGCATTTAGAAATATGCGTACTAATGGTTATTATCAGGGTGTTTTTTTTAGCATTTGGAGACATATAGCCCATTTGAAATATGCGTACTAATTATTATCAGGGTGTTTTTTTTAGCATTTGGAGACATATAGCCCATTTGAAATATGCGTACTAATAATGGTTATTATTCAGTTTTTTTTTTTTTTTTAACAAAGGTTAGCCTATTTGAAACATATAGCCCATTTGAAATATGCGTACTATAATAATAATGGTTATTATTATCAGGGTTTTTTTTTTTTTTAACAAAGGTATATAGCCCATTTGAAATATGCGTACTAATTGGTTATTATCAGGGTTTTTTTATTTTTATTTTTATTTTTCTATTTTTTATTTTTTTTAACAAAGGTATCACTTCATTCATTCACAAAATATCATCAGTACTTACAAAAAACCCTACTTTTTTATTTAAGAATGGTAACATTTTATTTTTTCATTCATTCACAAAAATAACACAAGTAAGTACTTTTCCAAAAAAAAAAAAACATAATGCAGCAGCAATGCAATTTATAAAAATTGCCATCACACAACACAATATACAACATTGAAAAACTCCAACTATTTACATTCAATCTCTCCCCCTAACTCTGGGCCCATCTTTATATCACAGTTAACACATCTAGACTGCATCTTTAGCCAAAGCATCTGCTGCTGCTGAGTTTTTCTCTCTATATACATGCCATATGAACCAAACATATCAGGCCAATGAACCATAACATCTGCTGCTGCTGAGTTTTTCTCTCTATATACATGCCATATGAACCACAACCAAAGCATCAAAGGAACCTCCATTTTCTTCTTACACCAACGGATCACATTCATGGAGTCCCCCAATGATCAATTTACCACCAAATTGCTCAGCCACTTTAATCCCTTGCTCCATTTGCTATAAAATAAATACACAAAGGCCCACAATATCTCTATAAAATTGTCACATTTCCTTCGTTCACCAATGAGTTTTTCTCTCTATATACATGCATATGAACCTAACATATCAGGACAATGAACCATAACCTCCTCCCAAAGCATCAAAGGAACCTCCATTTTCTTCTTATTTCCAACGAATCACATTAATCCCTTGCAGCACTGATCATATCTCAGCTCTATATACACAAAGGCCCACAATATCTTTTTAAAATTGTCCCAATATGATCCCTAGCTAGCCCTCCAATACCACAATATCTCTATAAAATTGTCACATTTCCTTCGTACACCAATGAGTTTTTCTCTCTATATACATGCATATGAACCGTTAACCATAACCTCCTCCCAAAGTATCAAAGGAACCTCTATTTTCTTCTTACACCAATGAATCACGTTCATGGAATCACCCACAATGATCCATTATCACCAATCTGCTACTCTAATCCCTTGCAACACTGACATCATTTCAGCCTCATCCCTTGCAACACTGACACCCAGGCCCACGATATTTTTTTTTATG